CACTACAGAAGTAGATTGCCCCATCTTCCTTCCAAGGAATGGCTGGTAGGTTTGAACCGCCAGCTTTCTGGTTAGCAGTCAAGTGCCTCAGCCACTATGCCACCAGAAATATAGGCACATGAAAAGACTGGGAATTAGTTCAAAGATTAGAGAGCATCTCTTCCCTACACCCTACAACCACACAATAGACTAATAATAGAAAGGAAATTTTTCAACCTAATAAAGCAGTACATGCAACCTGTAGTAACAGCAAACTTAAGTTGAGAGACTGAATACTATCTGTCTTCAACTGGGAATAAGACAAAGACATCTGGCTTCACCATTTTTATTCAGCTTTCTTTTAGAGATCCTAGACAGAGCAAAGATTTCTTAGATAGTACATCAAAATCCTGGTCTTTAAAAAGTGAAGGGATAAATTATATTCCATCAAAATTAAAATATTTTCCTCTTATAAAGGCATCATTAAGAAAAAGTAAGACAAACTTGTCAAATAAGAGCCAAATTAGGTTTAAATGTGTACATTTTCACCAAAAGTATTACAAAAAAAGGGGGGGGGGAAGAAGACAAAAAACAAAGAAAAATGTGTTTAAAACATATATTTGGTAAAGATTGTATTCTGGATGTATAAAGAACTTTCACAATTTGATAAAAAGAACATCAAAACCCATTTTAAAAATGGGCTACAGATATTTCACCAAAGAAGGTATGCCAATGTCTAGTAACAAATATAAGAGTGGTCATTTTTATAAATCAAAAGGTAAATACAGATTTTAAAGTGATTCTGGTGGTTTTTGCTCTACACTACAAATTTGCCAAAAAATAAATATCATATACACATAAGATGAATGGCTTTTATGGTTGGTAATTTATATCTTAGTAAAGATGTTTAAAATGTACTATAAGAACTCTGATATAAAGAGTTTAGAAGTAATTACACTTGTCTTTAAAAGAAAAAAACTGAACGAAGTAAATCAGTGACTTCTTGTATCAGAGAACTGATGCTACAGGGAAAACCCATCTCATTGAATCTTGAAAGTTAAATATCTGCCAAAAGATACAGCATCTGAGATTCCCCTATCTGAAGCAGAAGCCAAAGGACACCATAAGGTGATCCCATCTAGGCGATTCTAACTCATGGTGACCCTATAGGATGGAGTAGAACTCCCCCATAGGGTTTCAAAGACTGTGATCTTTACAGAGGTAGGCTGCCACATCTTTCTCCCATGGAGTGGCTGGTGAATTTGAACCACTCATTTTTGCTTAGCAGCTAAGTGCTTAACCACTGAGCCACCATGAGCCACTAGGAACAAGTATTTAAATCTTACTTTGATGAATTTCTGGAGACTGAGTGTTGACTGCAAGTGTGAATGAGAAGCTTCTGAGAAGGGCAGTGATAGAGGCACTCCCATCTCTTTATATGTCATCACCCGCCCCACAACTCAATCAGATTCTCTTGGCAAGTATCTGAGAAAGCTGCCAATTACTCTAGCTGGGAGAAGGAAGGAGTATCTACTGTAAAACCCTCTCAGCCTCTTATCTATAACAAAGGTCTAATCTCCAGGTGAAAGGACTTCACCAGAGGACAATTCAGGAACCTAATCTCTGGTAGTGTAATGCCTAAGGCACCTGAGTGCTAACCAGAAGGCTGGTGGTTCAAACCCACCAGCCACTTCTCTGAAGGAAGGTTGGGCAATCTACTTCTGTAGTGATACTGCCTCAGAAACCCAAGGAAGGGTCGTTATGAGTCAGGTCTGACTCGATGGCACATAACAACAACAACAACAATCTCAGCTAAGGACAATTTACTTCCTTTGCATGCTTTTTGTAAAACGTGAAATTGGAAAAGCACACATTTGAGCAAGATTCCACAATAATTTTCCTTAGCCCATGGGCATTTGTTGAATAAATGCTTCTTGACCATCTTTCTAAGAGTTTTCCACAGCTCAGTAATAATGACAATGAAGAACAGAGTCATTTTTCCTTCAGGGATCATTGGAGGTGGTCCTCCAAATATTGACGACCATTACAACTTGAACATCAACCACCTGGAAAAAGGAAAGAGTTGGAAAGGGACAAAGAAGATTGCTGAGTTTATTTCCTGGAAGCTGTGTGTTGAGTGAGTCCACTTGGTGCTCAGCAGCACAAACCTCAGAAGGCTCTTCCTTCCATTTGGTCTGGATTTTAAAAACTAACTGAAAAGTTGGCAC